GACATGTATTCGTCTCAATTTGGCTTGTTTCGGAAGTCGGACATCTTCATTTTCACATAATTAAGAAAGCCCACGGTTACCAAAATCACCATTGAAGATACCCACTCAGGAAATAAACAGCAGTTTTTAACTTCGTGTGTTGGTCGTCCACGGCGAAAAAATCCGGAAGAATAGAATCTTTGTCCTCACCATCGTGGAAACCTAGAATTTCATAGAGTTATCAGGTTTACAGATATAACCATTTTCAGAACCACTTTGTATCCACCCACAAATTCACACGTATATCTGGCGGACTTAGGACACAGGTAGCTGAACTCCAGTATAGAAGTTATCCTTGAGAAGCTGCAGAACTATTTAGGAAATGTTCTGTTTTTGTAACACCAGAATTCTTAGCACCGTAAAAATAATTCGGTCATTGGTCTTTACCACGGATCTGTTGGGAAGTTTGAAATGGGGTAACTAATTTTCTGCGTGTCCAACACTACTAAGATCAGACCTCGGTCTGTATTATTAACATTCTTTTTCACGATGTATTCCTAGAACATTATTTCTCAGTATAAATTTTGTATACGTTTCTTGTTACTGCTACATATTTAGTCCATCCTTAATTCAGCGCAATTAACAATATTAAGTGAATTTTAGACTTAATGCTGTTTGTAATTGTAATTTTGTGAGCATTTTGTAGTTGTAAATAAAATAAGTTTAATACGTTCTTTTTACAACATCGTATTTGTTTCTTAACCAGTTTTAATAATTACTAAAGCTGAGTGAGCAAGATGGGCAAACATGGTGGAATTAATAGGCGTACTACGAATTCGATTTAACTTTGACATTTAGAATAAAATATACCAATATTATAACTTGAAACATTTTGATAAAAGGTAACAGCTGCAGTTTGATCAACTTTACATTAAATAAGAAATTACAATTTAATAATTACGAATCCAGTATATTTTAACAAATTTCAAAAAAAAAAATACTCATTTTTGAAAAGATTCGTACCCCAAATTGACTTCACTTTCCACTTATCTTAAGAGTTCTACAGATGACCTTTGCCTTTTAAAAAGGTCAGTTGAGTTTCCATTGCCTTAGACATGTATTCGTCTCAATTTGGCTTGTTTCGGAAGTCGGACATCTTCATTTTCACATAATTAAGAAAGCCCACGGTTACCAAAATCACCATTGAAGATACCCACTCAGGAAATAAACAGCAGTTTTTAACTTCGTGTGTTGGTCGCACTGAAAAGCTCCCACGATTTACGTGTTTTCGACTGGTCGTTCAAGGAGTCCTGCCAAATATATAAAAAGTTTTTAAAAGTTGACGTAAGATGTCTTAATAGAGGCCAAGGCTTAGAGTCGGTTACAGCGCCAGTTTAATATTAAACCGAGAGTCGCTTCGTTCTTTACCATATTTGCATTGTCTTTAAGCGTTCTTCATGCTTGGTCTCCCGTGTCCAGTGAATACTAAAGTTGTAGATGGACAAAGTTTAGAAAAGTAGTACCGTTAATTGTGGACATGCAAGTGAGAATAATCGGTAATGGTGTACGCCGGTAAACACATACGTGGAAAACAAGTCACTTATAATGACATGACAATTGAAGAGATTTCAGAACGTTGTCGTCTGTGTAATGGTTCCTGTGTATGTGTACAGTGTTCTGCCATTTCGCGTAACACGTATGTGTAGCTCATGTTGTATAGAAAATTAATACGATGGTACTTGAGGTTTGTGTGACCTGTAATACTACGCAATCCAGTCAAAGAAAGAATGTCATGTATGTGGGGTAATCGTGTATGAATGGCAATGGTTTGGCATGACAAGCAATTGTTTCTGAAAGACGCCGTTTATGTTACAACAGAATAATCCTTGTGTCTGGACATCGTGGGTTGGATGAGGATCTAGAGCTCCACATGTTTTATCCTTTCTAAATAAGGCACAGCAAACATGTAACATGCTTTCAGTAGAAACTACGTTTGAAATGAAATTTAAGTTAAATTAATTTACATAATTCTGTGGACCTAACAAGAACGGTTTATTTGGCTACATATTAAATAAATATTTATAATAGATGAAGAGAGAACGGATTTAAAACTCTCTGGATTTGTCACAGAATATTAAAGTATAGTCAATCCGACTTACGTCATAGGACGAGTAATTGTCATGCGCACATCTCTGTGAATGCCTGATTGGATCGTCAGGTCAGTCGACTGGTGCTGCTTACACCTACCGGCTTGTTTTGTGACTTTATGTGTTCATAACGGGATCAACACTTTCATTTTGAGGTTAATAACAGATAAAATCAGGTAAACAAAAATAATTATAACTACAAATACTAGATTAAGTTAGATACAAGATTAAATTAAAATATTAATTATGCTAGAGACAACCGTAATAAAACACGACCCAAAAACAATCATATTATTATATAAATTTCACATAATATAAACAAAGGGTTCACGTAAAGTAATGATAAGTTGCAAATAAATCTACCCATTACATACAGAAGGTAAATTATCACTTATTTGTTAACAATAGAAATTCATCGACAGAGTAAAAGGAGTGTGTAATTAAGTATCTTTTTAATGCTACCTTAAATTGCTCCTTATTTACAAGACTTGTGAGATTTGATGGTAGACTGTTGAAAATTTTGATCCCTGCATAATATGCACTCTTCTGAAAACATGAGAGGGTGGCAATTGGTCTATGAAGCTGATTTTTATTCCTTGTGTTGACAGGGTGTATAGCAGAATTAGTTTGAAAGAGTTCTTGGTTAACTACAATAAAGTTCATTAATGAGAATATGTATTCACAAGGTAGAGCTAAGATCTCTAATCTCTTAAATAGACTTCTACATTAATTTCTAGGTTTTACACCAGCCAATAATCTAATAATTTTCTTTTGTAAAGTGAATATTTCTTTGATGTTTGATGAATTTCCCCCAAAAATTATTCCATATTTCATTAAAGAGTGAAAATATGCAAAATATACTGATCTGAGTGTGTCAGTGTTGCTGACATGCAACATAGAACTTACTGCATGTAACATCCTCCACTTAACTTAGTTTTTCAATATTATTTGTCCAATTCAGGTGATTTTCAATTTGCAAAACCCAGGAACTTTGTATTTACTGACTCTTGTATAAATTTTCCATTATAACCAATACTTAAAGCACATTGTGGTGAGTTGTTTGTTATAAATTTTATTATATTTGTTTTATCTAGATTTAGGGCCAGCTTGTAAGCAGCAAACCATTTACTCGTATGAGACAGAACTATGTTTGATGTTGCACAGAAATCATCAAAATTTTTATTAGAAATTATGACACTTGTGTCAACAGCAAATATTATGGGTTGGAGGAAGGTCATTTATGTATATTATAAAAAGCAAGGGCCCTAAAAGTGACCCTTGGGGAACTCCATGTTTTATTGTTCCTCAGTTTGAGAAATTTTTTTGTTTATTTTTAAGAGCTTTTACTTCAACCTTTTGTTTACTATCTGTTAAATAGGATCTGAACCATTTCACTGCCATTCCTTGAATGCCATAAAAATGTAATTTATCCAAATTTTTTTTAATGATTTACACAGTCAAAAGCTTTCGCTATATCACAGAAAAATCCTCCAACATTCATTTTTTGGTTAATAGATTGCAGAACATTGTCTGTTAGTTTGAAAGCTACATTTTCAGTGGACACACCTTTCCTGAAGCCAAATTGTTCCGGGACCAATTAGTTTTTAGTATGCAAATGAAGAGAGGATATTTGGGCCTAGGAGAGAAGACGATGGGACATGGAGAAAACTGCATAATGAGAGCTTAAAAATCTGTACTCCTCTCCCAATATTGTCAGGGTGATTAAGTCGAGAAGAATGAGATGGGCTGGGCATGTAGCACGCATGGATGGGACAAGAGGTGTGCACCGGGAAGCCTGAGGGGGAGAGACCTCTGGGGAGACCTAGACGTAGATGGGAGGATAATCTCAGGCGGGATCTATGGGAGATAGGAGTTGAAGGAGACTGAATTTTGTTGGCCCAGGGCTTTGGTTAGTTCGGTGATGAACCTTCGGGTTCGGTAAGCCATCTAGTTAGTTAGTTAGTTAGTTAGACTCCAAAAAAGTCGAAGTTGTTTATGAATGCTGTTCCATCGTTTGTATAAAACGTGAAATCACCTAACGGAGAAATGTGCAACTAGCGTGAAGTCATATGTGGACATTCCTCCGGTTTAAACGTAGAAGTTCTTAATCGCTCGCTAACATTCCGGTTCCGTTACGCTGCATATCGTGAGTCTGTGCTGAGGTCCGCTACTGTCCAGCTCAACATCTGTCCTGTCCTCTGTAGCGGCTCATAACTGCCTTCTCATCGCGTAACTGCAATTCGGTGACTCATGTATGCAACGTGGACAATGCTTCAAAACGGTCGATCCACACACAAACTGTATTTTGCGGAAGACTGACTTAGCGGCCCTCAACATTTACTGATTCATGGACCAGCACAACAGCAGGTTCCCCTAAGTCCACGTTGCTCATTACAAGTAACTAACAGACTTCTTGAGCATTACCCCGTCTTCGATGAGTCCCTATGTCCGGTCAGGACGGAGGACGGAGACAGATTTTAGTCTCCGAAACGTCGTTTTTAATCAAAATGACGGTAGGCAGTGTCCAAGAGGTCTGTTATTGTTATTGTAACACGCAGACCTCCGGATTTAGTACAAGTAAACAGTCTGGCTTTGTCTAGACATGTCTGTCTACAATTAACACCTTCATTTGTTATTAAAATCGAAAATATATAAAAATAACCAGATTGGAGGGAAGTAACTTAAGTAGGAACGCTTACTGCTATGGAATGTACGTGTTTCCTAAATTCGTTCCATGTTATTTTCCGTAACTCATTGACCTTGGTGTTTATTTCTTGCAGGTTTGAGGTCGTGTGGGACATTGTTAACGCGACACTGACGTGTTTTGAACGCATAGATTTTCAACAGTGATCAGAGTAGTGAAATACAGTGGGAAAGTTGTTTTTATTCAACAATGAGAATCTTCAGTCGCCTTTCTTCTTAATATCGATTGTCTCGATACGTGTAAGGTGCTGTGACGAGCTGCCTACATCGACTCACCTCTCCACTGCGCAGGTCAGTTGCGTCACCTCTCCACTGCGCAGGTCAGTTGCGATTATATCTTATATTCGTAGTCGCTTACGTGTTTGGGTTGAGTGAAATTGTAGTCTGTTCGTTTTAGTCCAGGATTTGCTGCTCGATGAGTAAGCAAAGTGAATCAGATTATCACATTTTGGTGCGTGGGGTGACAGTAAACAAACTTCCATTGCTTTCTTCCGCCCATTAAAGAGGACAAGTCTGTCAATAATGTTTGACTCGCCTACACGTCCAAATACAAGCTTCTGTCTGCCTGTGTGCTCAACAAACACTGACAGCCAATTGGCTGTTAATTAACAGACTCATGGGAACTTTTCTGACCTCTGGTCAGCTCACTTTCTGAACAGGGTGTGGCCTTTGTATCGGAAGTACCAAAGTGTGTTCTACCTTAATGGACGATGCATTCATCTATTAAGCGACGTTTTATCAACTACATTCGTATGACGTAGCACTGAAAGAGAATTTGTATCAGATATTAGGAACTTTTTATTCCGCGTGAGACAGATTAGAAAACAGAAAAGACTTTAAACATTGAGGAAGTTAAATTATACCTGACGGTTTATTAGTCATCTTCGATAAATCTAAAGAAAAATATAAAAATAACGAGAAAGCCGTGTTATTTTATATTACGAATAATCTCTTATAAGAAGTTGCATATTTTTTTGAAAATCTATTAGCACACCTCAGCATTTTACACGGCTGCCATGTTGGTTTACTTGTTGATAGGAAATTGAAATTTCTGATCCTTGAAGAAGCATAAGGGCGCTGTACTCTCTTACCGTCCACATTTTTCATGATCGAAACTGGTGAGATGGTCGATAGCCGGGATCGATCCCCGTCAGCGACGGGAACTCCGTTTCGTAAGTCTGTAAGGATTTCTATTTCCTCGTGGGTCATTTCTGAAAATATTCTTTGGCGTAGGATTTCCGCCCATTTATTTCCACAATATGAAGATGTCTATAATATTATTAAAGTTTTCATGTAATAATATTTTATATGAATTAGTGTCTCGTCATGTAATGTGAAATGCTTAAATGAGAAATTACACCAACGAATAAACGAACTAAAGACGTATTAAAATGACAAAGAAGTAATTTAATATAACAATTATTAAGCGGATGGATAATTTAATTAATATACACGTCAATAAATTTATAAATGTGCTACAAATTAATAAAAAAATAAATTGAGTAAATGAAAATAAATTAAATTTTGATTAAATTAAGAAATAGAAAAGTTACATAAATACAGAAACAAGGTCGAAAGTGAAATTGCACCCCTCACGCGTGAGGTGATATGACCCCTGGAGAAGGAAACCTTCTACAGGGCGGCTGGTAGTTGGTCTATACCAGTGGTATTCAACCTGGGGTACCCGAAGACATCTCAGGGGGTACGTGAAATTTAAAAAAATATATTATTTTATGATAAACACTGAAAAATCAGTAATGTAATTTATTTTATTTATTTTAGATGTAGATTATATACTACGCATAACTTGAATTATACACCAACAACTTTGGGGGGTACAAAGTTGAAGAGAAATTATATCTGGGGGTACGCGAACATAAAAGGTTGAATACCACTGGTCTTTAGGTTACTTCTGACTGTAAGAGAGTCCACGCCAGCCTCAAAGTTTACCCCACCGTACTATCCGAACTTGACCGTCCAACTTTCATTACACTTCTCAAGCATTTATATATTTAAAATCGGCCACGACCGTTTCCTTCCCCGTCACCTATGACTGACCATTCAGTCGTACCTCATTCGGCGTTTGGCTAATGGCCACAACGTCGTAAAGTAACCGAAACGTCAAAGGGTCTCGGCCCACCTGTAGATAAACATTGCCCTATCCCATCGTAGCAACTGTTAACGATGCGCGCGTTGATTTGTGGGTAACGCTGAGGTACTGATAGGTATACGACGAAAGGAAGTTGTAGTCTGAGGGAAAAGAAGGGAATTTTAGCGTGGCACATGACAACGGCTGCCTGGTTTAATGCGCCATTATGTCAAACATCATGCAGAACGTGCTAAATTGGGTCCGAAACGGCTTCTTTCCCCCAATTAACTGCGCCATATTGTGTGGGCTGGCTCGTAACAGTTGGGGGCTACATGATACAGCTATCGTCAATACCGACTCATAACTCGTGACTCCCAGGTGACGTTAAATTGGCAGCCTGATTTACCGACAGTCGACACACTCGCAAATTACAAGAACGGACGCCCGCCCGCCGACAGTCATTTCCGAAATGCGTTCTTTGTTACATAGGCACAAAGCCATTGTTACAAAATCTGCCCAGAGTCAAGATAGGATCCTTGTGTTTCGTCTTATATTCCGAGACGTCGAATTTTAAGATTTAAACGTTGGTTAATTGAAATATTACGTAAAAACTTCCCCGGAATATTGGTACATTCTGTGAAGATTCATTGCTTTCAATAGCATAGGATGTTAAATCCGGGAATCAAGGGAATAAATAATGTTTTAAACTACATCATCAACTCTTTATATTATCTGTTAAGTGTTCTTTACGTTGTAGCGTAACCTTCCATGTCTATCGCGTTTATCCTAGGAGGTCATTGTTGAGAGACATATTTTAAGCAAGGCCATTGTTGGAAGGCGCATCGGATCACAAAAGTGGAACAATGCTATACAACAATGTTAGCCGAACACGTTATAATCTAATATATATGGTATTCAAATTTGGGACGTTCTGTAATAGATAGCCTGAGTGTACTAGGGATACATAACCTTACATTTCCGTCACAATATAGAAATTACTTTCGACTGTGTTTTGTGAGAAAGTATAATTTGATTGAAGGCCGTGTTATTGTTAATGGCTTAGAGTCCACGCCAGTTTGTGGCTTATTTGTTCTGTATCCTTGCTCTGAATGTAATGTGGACTGTTTTTGTCGAGAAAGTTTCACTAAACATCTGTTTCCAACTTCGTAATAATATTAACGTGAAACCCGTATTTTTGCTCTCACGAATTCGCCACTGACGTGTGACGAAATTGAATGGCATTCTGTAGTTTCTGAACTTTTAGGTCAGAAAGAAAACCCATCTTTACTGTTTGATCTCAGTTGAACTACGTGCACTTATAAACCATTTTTAAGTGGTTTGGTACTGTCATGCGTTACTTAACGCAGAGACAAATTTGTTTCTGGACTTTTTCTGACACACGACCAGCTCAACTACAGAATGTAAAGACACTTCCACTCATACACACTCATATTTCGGTGCGTATTAACCATTTAAAACCGAAGCTCGTAAAACCCATCTTTACTGTTTGATCTCAGTTGAACTACGTGCACTTATAAACCATTTTTAAGTGGTTTGGTACTGTCATGCGTTACTTAACGCAGAGACAAATTTGTTTCTGGACTTTTTCTGACACACGACCAGCTCAACTACAGAATGTAAAGACACTTCCACTCATACACACTCATATTTCGGTGCGTATTAACCATTTAAAACCGAAGCTCGTCTAAAAAAGAGTTAGGAATTTAGTCTGTACCTCAAAGAAAACACACCACACGTAACCATTACAAAGATCGACTGGTTAAAGCTGTTTAAGGAGATAATCCTTTTTGCAGTGATAATTATGAGATGTCAAAACATACAAAATACATATTTTTACCACCGGGTTTTAAGTGATTAAAGGAATAGCTTGACTTTTATAGATTTACGTTCTCGTAGTCGAGTTCTCCAGCAGTACGGACTGCTTTATTTCCTCGCCACGTGACCGCCACACGTCACCAATTAGGCTCCCCCCCACCCCACAGATCCCTTGCCATGTGCGACCACATGTTCTCCGTGAGGGAAGCCCCCCTGAATCCTACCAGTGGCACGCTTTGGAGTCAACTTTATCCGTGGATGTCGTTGGAGTGGATATAAACACAAAGCACTTGTAGAGATACTCTTGCATGTACTTATGTGTGCCATCCCTGTAACGCGGAATTTCTAGAACGGATTTATAGTACTAGATTAGTAGATTTTAATAAGTAATTATGAATTGAACTAATTTATAACTTTGCTAACCGCGAATCGGTAAGTTTTCAAGTATATTTGCTTTGTGATTGTTTTATATCTAGTCAGGGTTTTCTACCAAATATCTGAAGGACTCGTTGTTTAAGAATTGCATTTTTATTACGAAACTCAGAATATTCTAATTTATAAAAACTATCAGAAATAAATCATCAACGATTTTAATGTAGGGAATGAGTGAAGTTACATCAGTTATTATATTTCATTGTAAGAGTGTGTTAATTTAATATGAAGTTTCTGTAACATATTTATTTTACTATTTAGAATTCCCAGCTGATTACTCGAGATGGGCATAATTTAATCCATGCCATAAATATTAATTAGTGTAGAGAAGTTTTTTTAGAGCTTATCTTCACATCCAGTTCTAAATAACTCTTGCTGCTTCAATTATATTGTTGTTGTTGTTTTGTACGTGCCATATCTGATTAATAATAATATATGAGCTTGTTCTAAATTTCAAATGAGTTGATTTGTTTGGGGTCGCTCTGACCAGTGAGAATAAATAAATACCTTCTTGAAATACGCCTTGAGCCATCTTTCGTAGAGTGCCATCAGACCATGACTAAAAGTACCCCACTTACACACGCACAGAGCGAAAGAACAATTGTATCGAGCAGACAACTTTTAATTAGCCGATTTCATTCTTAAACTTTTTTTTTAAGTCAGACATTTTATGTCAAAAAAACCTGATGTTACATCCTCGGTAGAAAAATTATCGTAGGACAAGGAAGCTGGATTATAAATTTACCACGAGATATCAATATTACTCTATCTCACCAGATAATCGTCTATTTTCCTCAGTTTCTCCAAACAAGTATCAGCGTAATATATCTACTTTGAAATAGGCCACTGTCAACCGCTTATAAATATTTATCTAGTCAGTTTTATTTATTACGTACAATTTATTTTAATAATTGCGTTTTAAGCAGTGTCTTTAATTAACCTTGAGAATAAATCGATACTTTA